GCGCGGTACAGCATTTATAAGCCGGCAGCGCAGCGGCAGCGCAGTGTTGGCTGAGCGGGTCTTCTGTCCTGTATATTTCTTTCCCTGTACTCTCTCCGCGGGTATGACTGTGAAAACCGAGGCTGCTAGGGGCACCCTCACTTATTCCAGAATGAGGGGAATGGTAGCAATTCTCATCGGTGAGTGTAGGACTGAGACTTGACTTCTAGGATATACGGGGTGGAATTTTTTGAAGGTCCCGGATCAGATTAGTGTGTGGCGTCGGATATTATGAAGCTGTCTAAACGTTGTTTTCTTCTGTTTAATTCACAGCTTTCATGAAACAGAGAAGGATGGGTCTGAACGACTTTATTCAGAAGATTGCCAACAACTCCTATGCTTGCAAACAGTAAGTTTGGGAAATATGAGAGAAAAAAAAAATAGTATAGTTTGAATTTGGTAACAGTAAAGACTTACTCTCACTAGTATGTTGACCAGCAAGCCGGGGTAGGGAGAATCTTTCCCCCGTCCCCCTCAAGTTCTACTTTAAATACGTAAGGAAATTTACTGATTTGGTTGGTTTTGGACTTGTAAAATGAATTTCCCTTGTTTAACTAATTCACGCCCTTTCACCATATAGAACAACCCTAATTTCAGTATTTTACAGGGCTTACTGTTTTACTTTACTTTAAAAAAAAAAAAAAGACAGCAACGAGTAACTTAGTTAAATGTTTTTAAACATCCTGAATTCTCCGGAACATTTTGAGCCAGAAATGAATGGTGTTAGTGTGCCCCCTGGTGGCGAATTAAGAGAACCTAAATTGTTCCTTTATTCTCTGCAGCCCTGAAGTCCAGTCTATTTTGAAAATCTCCCAACCTCAAGAGCCTGAGTTTATGAATGCCAACCCTTCTCCTCCAGTAAGTATTGTCTATTTGTGATGCATCTGTGGAGGGAAATTGAAAATGAGTCACGTAGTATTCCTACATCATGAATTAAAATAGCATTTCTAGAAATTAGTATAAAGATATTATTAGCTCGTGATATAATAAATGGCCTTAGTATTGAGTCAGGGAATGTTAGGAGGCAGATTACATAAATAAAAAATGTATTTGCTTATAACCACTTGATTGTGAATGGTTCCCATACTCATGAAATACTGATCTGTATGACTGAAAAATAGCTTTGAAGATGTTGTGTAGATAATAAGTAGATACATGATGACTTACATCAGTCATTTGTAAATAAATAACTTTTATATTGGACCTACTTTACTATAGCTCTATCTTCATTTGAAGCAAGGATACTAAAAAAAATTTCTTTTCTAGCCAAGCCCTTCTCAGCAAATCAACCTTGGCCCATCGTCCAATCCTCATGCAAAGCCATCCGACTTTCACTTTTTAAAAGTAATTGGCAAAGGAAGTTTTGGAAAGGTAATTTCAAATGCAAAGACCTCCATGCTAGTCTGTCATGCATTTTACATGTCACTTTCTTCCTGGATATGGATAGCAAAATGATATTTTGATACTGAAATTTCAGGTTCTTCTAGCGAGACACAAGGCAGAAGAAGCCTTCTATGCTGTCAAAGTTCTACAGAAGAAAGCCATCCTGAAAAAGAAGGAGGTATGAGATGTGTTTGATGGGCTGGGCTTGGAGGTAGACATTCAACACATGTTCTTTCCCCTGGAATTTTTGTGCTCTTTGAAATTTGCTGCTAAGTCTTCGTTGTCTTTTTTTCTAGGAGAAGCATATCATGTCCGAGCGGAATGTTCTCCTGAAGAATGTGAAACACCCTTTCCTGGTGGGCCTTCACTTCTCTTTCCAGACTGCTGACAAATTGTACTTTGTCCTAGACTACATCAATGGTGGAGAGGTGAGCAATGGGTGCAGGGGCTAACCCTGGGTGTCTGGGCACTATCTGTTATATTTTAAATTGAGAAGAAAGTTTTTCAGAGATACTTAGGGGGAAAAGTTACCCAAATTAGCCTTTCTTCTAACCTGCCAGGCATCCAATAGTTAGTGGACTATTGAGGGCCACTTCCGGCAATTGTTCTTGTTGGCTATATATGTCAGGGCTAATTGAATGCATTGTTAATAGGTTTGGCAACCCAGACTGACTGTGTTTTGTCTCTGTGTAGTTGTTCTACCATCTCCAGAGGGAGCGCTGCTTCCTGGAACCACGGGCTCGTTTCTATGCGGCTGAAATAGCCAGTGCCTTGGGTTACCTGCACTCTCTGAACATCGTTTACAGGTGAGCAGACGAGCTCTTTAGGGTACCTTCCTGGGCGTAAGCAAGACACAGCCCTAGCTTTTGATGGAGGCTTAAAAGAATCTGTTTATGTGCTGCTGGGTTACCTAAAACAAGGCATCCCCAGCATGGGAGCTGTCTTCACTGCCAGTGCCTAGGGAGCCTGCCAGCTAGGATTAGGCCTAATCCAGACTAGCTGAGCTGAACAAGGACTCCCTTTTTTACTCACTGTAAAATTGCAGTGAATTTAAAATGCTTCTAATACCCCTGAAAATTATGTTTACAGAGGATTTCTTATGAAGTGAAATTAATGTATGCAAAAACGTGTCTATTTTTTTTTTTTTTTTTTACAGAGACTTAAAGCCAGAGAATATTTTGCTAGATTCGCAGGGACACATTGTCCTGACTGACTTTGGGCTCTGCAAGGAGAACATTGAACACAATGGCACGACCTCCACCTTCTGCGGCACACCTGAGGTAGGAGCCCCCTTCATCTGGTCAGGTGCACCTCCTACTGTAACATAAACTGTTCTCAGATTTCTTAGTACAATTCAGTGCAAGAAAACTATACTTGCTGTTTGATGCAGCATGAGAAACTCCAAGGCCTATGTGGCTTTAATGAAGAGTAGCTGTTTTCTAACTCCCCAAGTAAGCTTTGTCAGATGCTCCAGTAGCTTCCTTAGTATCCGTCAGACTCAGAGAGTCCAGCAGTGTTATCATCAGGAAATAGTCTAAGATCTAGCCTCCAAGTTGACCCCCCACCAAAGGTCTCAGCCCCTTCATAGTGCATGCCTGGTCTTGGGGGGGGTCCCTGGATTCAGAGCTTTAAACTCCGTTTTCCTGGTCTCTTTCAGTATCTGGCTCCAGAAGTGCTTCATAAGCAGCCTTATGACAGGACTGTGGACTGGTGGTGCCTGGGGGCCGTTTTATATGAGATGTTGTATGGCCTGGTGAGTAGCACACTGGGAATCAGGGACCCTTGACCTTGGTTTGTTGACCCTCCCTAGAATGTTGTCTTCATATAGTCCAGACTTATCAAGCCCATAGATTGCATTGCCCCCTGTTCATTATGTCTTGCCCTTATCAGTAAGCTTATCAAAAGCTAATAACAGAGGCAGACATTGGTTATTTTGTTTCAGAGTAAACTCTTACCTAGTGGAGTTCCCTTTTTTAAATCTACATTTTACTAGATAAGACCACACTTAACCTGGATAGTAGTGAAAAACATACCCTTTGACAAAGGTTGTAAAAGACCCTTAAAAATCCAGGGCAAAGGAAAATCTCAAGGGGGATGCTATTTTTCTCCAATACAAGTTAATAATTACAGCTTAGCTCTTACCCAATTGGTTATGTCTGTTACACAGAATTTTCAGTCAAAGCCTTAAGGAACTGTTTCCCTTTCAGCCTCCTTTTTATAGCCGCAACACTGCTGAGATGTATGATAACATTCTGAACAAGCCCCTCCAGTTGAAGCCAAACATTACAAACTCTGCAAGACACCTCCTGGAGGGCCTCCTGCAGAAGGATAGGACAAAGAGGCTTGGCGCCAAGGACGACTTCGTGAGTTGGATTTCTCCCCTGTTCTCGGGGTCTGTCTGGGGGGTCCACTAGATCGAATTTCACCTGTCTACATTAATCTCATGTTTCTTCTCAACAGATGGAGATTAAGAGTCATGTCTTCTTCTCCCTAATTAACTGGGATGATCTCATTAATAAGAAGATTACTCCCCCTTTTAACCCAAATGTGGTAAGTATCTATCCCTTCTAAGTAGAGTGAGGCCCAAAGGACATTTCTTTTTTTTTTTTTAAAGTCAGGGTTGGTGAGGGAAAGAAACCTCCCCCCAGGCATAAATTCTTATTCTTAAATCTATTCCTGTCCCTGGGGAAAATAAGTTTAGCCCACCAAAAAGCATATGCTTTCGCCACATTTATCAAGTAAAGTACCAAAAAACATAGTCAACATTATTCCTACTAAAATTTGTATGACCTTTGGGGTTTTGTGGATGTCCCAAGATAGCCCAAATGGTTTGTACAACCGCTAACCTAAGGTCAGAAGTTCAAACCTACCCAGTTTGCATAGCTGCATGGGTGAAGGGCCTAGCTATCTTGCTTCTATAAAGATTCCAGCCAAGTAAAGCCTGTGGTAGCATAGTGGCTAAAAGCACTTGACTGCTAACCAGAAGGCTGGCGGTTCAAACCCACCAGCCACTCCTAGGAAGGAAGGTTGGGCAATCCTACTTCCGTAGTGATACTGCCTTGGAAACCCAAGGAGGGGTCGCTATGAGTCAGGGCCGACTCGACAGCACATAGCAACAAAGCCTGTGGAGCAGTTCTGCTGCATAACACATGGGGCGCTGTGAGTCAGAATTGACTCAACGGCACTGGTTTTGGCTTTTGAGGGCTTTGTGCCTGAAATAGTTGATTATGGGAAATTCCGCCACCATGAATTGCATTGACTTGACAGAAACTTTTTGTTTTAATTTAAAGCCTTAACCAGAATTTCCCTGTCCCGCGCACAGCAGGAATTTTGACAGTGTTTTCTTGTCCCCTCCTGTAACAGAGCGGGCCCAGTGATCTGCGGCACTTTGATCCCGAGTTTACTGAGGAGCCTGTCCCCAGCTCCATCGGCAAGTCCCCCGACAGCATCCTCATCACAGCCAGTGTCAAGGAGGCGGCCGAAGCTTTCCTGGGCTTCTCCTATGCGCCGCCCATGGACTCTCTCCTCTGAACCACCCTGGGTTGCTTCCGAAGGACTTTTGTGTATTTTTCAATGTTGTAGTTAGCCTTTTGGCAGAGCTGCCAGCTGACAGGACATCTTAAAAGAGAATTTGCACATCTCTGGAAGCTTGGCAATCTTCCTCGCGCACTGTTTGCTGGAAGCTTATCGAAGAGCACACCTCCTTTGTAGTGAGCTCCTGAGTTTTCACTTTCTTCTTCCTTCCACCGTGGTGCTATCTCTGAAACGAGCGTTGGAGCGCTGCCTTAGACAGGTGCGGTAGTTGGTTAGAAGGAAGACGCTGTTCTAAAGAAGGACCTTCAGAGGGTCTGTCTGGGCTGTGACACTGACGATAATGATATGTGCCTTTTCTGATGAGATCATGTGAGCTTCAAAGCTGTACCTGTGGCAGAGCGTTGCAGTTCTTTATTTTTCCCCGTGGGTTTGCTTTGTGAGCCCTGGTATGAGTGGTTGTGCTTGATCACAGATGGGTGGAGTTGTAAGCATCAATGTGACACTTGCAGGACACTACAACGTGGGACATTGTTTGTTTCTTCCATATTTGGAAGATAAATTTATGTGTAGACTTTTTTTTTTGTAAGATGCATACTTAATAACTAAAATTTATTGAAATGGTCTTGCGATGACTTGTACCCAGATGCTTAAAGAAAGCATTGCTGCTACAAATATTTCTATTTTTAGAAAGGGTTTTTATGGACCAGTGCCCCAGTTGTCAGTCAAAGCCGTTGGTGTTTTCATTGTTTAAAATGTCACCTGTAAAATGGGCATTATTTATGTTTTTGTTTTGTTTTGTTTTGCATTCCTGATAATTGTATGTGTTATATAAGGAGAGTCTGTACATTGAGTTATAACACTAGTATATTTAAATTTCCAGGCTTATTTGTAATGTAAACCACCATTTTAATGTATTGTAATTAACATGGTTACAATATGTACAATCCCTACCCCCTTCCCCACCACACAACTTTTGTGTGTGTGTGTGATGGTCCAATTTTGGTTTGCAATAAAACCTTGAAAAATATTTACAAAAGTGGTGGTGTGTTATTGTTTGTATTTTGATTAAGGGGGCAATAACGGGTCAGTTTCAGGAGCTCTGGTGGTGTAATGGATAAGTCATTTGGCTACTAACCAGCTGCTCTGCAGAAGGAAGATGGGGCAATAGACTTCCATAAAGATTTACGGCCTCAGAAACCCAGCAAGGGTCACTGTAAGTCAGAAGCAACTCTATGGCAGTGAGTTTTAAGGAGGTTTTTTCAGGAGCTCTGGTGGCACAGTGGTTAATGCATTCCGCTGCCCACCAAAAAGTCTAGTTTAACCCACCAGCTTCTCTGTGAGGGAAAGATGAGGCAGTCTTCCATAGAGATTTATAGCCTTGGGAGCCCTATGAGGCAGATTTTCTCTGTCCTATAAAGTCACCGTAAGTTGCAATTGACTAAATGGCAGTGGGTGAGTTAATGGGTCGATTTAAAATTTAAAACTGTCAAAATGCTTCATTGCCAGCTCAGTAGCTTGCTTCCAATGGGACTGGCTTCTGATGCCAGAGAATTATGGGAGGGGCCTAAAAGCCATCCCACTTTCCAGATTTTAGCAGTATTTTATGGTGTTGGTCATACATAAATGCATCCAAGGAAATCCTTTTCAAGTTACCCATCTTACAAGGACAGCCATGAAGTCATATTCCTTGTATTTATTGCCTGCTCTGTGAAGTTGGTCTGTTTGTACTGACATTTGGCTTGTCTTAAGTAACAGGTAATTCTTTCAATAAATATGAGTGCCTACTCTGTCCAGGCCTTATTCTGAGTACGGAGAATATAGCAGGGAGCAGAGCAGACGTATCTCTGCCCTTAAAATGCCTTCTAGAAGGATGGAAAGCAGATCATTTTTAAAGAAAAGCAGTTTGTTTGAGTGGAAATCAAGATCATGCTCTGCAAGTTTAGGAAAAGGCCAGTAAGAAGGGTAAGGACTTACAAAAATGCTTATGCCCCCAAGAAGCAGAGCTGGCTGGTCTTAGGGCTACAGTAGCACTCAGCTGAACTGAGGCCAGTGCTGGCTCAAGAAAGGATGCTGAAGGAGCACATCACTAGCGTGGACCAGAAACCTCTTGAGCTAGTGGGTGCCCAGCACCCCGTGGGCCCACCAGTCTCTGGGTCTGGCATGCAGGACTCACCCTTAGAGCTCATACACTGGAATATTTGCTGGGAAAGAGAAGAAAGTTTCAACCCGTCATCTTGGGCCAACGTTGCTTGGACTTCACTTTTCTAGGTCTTTCTTCCACTACCTGTCTGTCCCTTTGTCGTACTATGGTGGTTGTGTGTTGTTATGATACTGGAAGCTATGCCACTAGTATTTGAAATACCCACAGGGTCACCTGTAGTGGGCAGGTTTCAGCAGAGATTCTAGATGGGCAGACATGGCAGAAAGGTGTGATGATCTATTTCCAAAAATTAGCCAGTGAAAATCCTATGGACCACAACAGAATATTGCCCAGTGTAGTGCTGGAAGATGAGCCGTCTAGGGCAGAAAGCACTCAGAATTCACAGTGGCCATAAAAACACTTGCACGCCATCATAACGATGGACGGGACTGGGCGACACTTAAGTTCTGTTGCTCATAAGGCGATCGTGAGCCAGAGCTGATTCAACTAACAAGTCTTCCATACACATTTCTAGCCAATACTCCAAAGTCATCTGCTGTCTTAGCCTCATGAGTGCACCCTAAGCCACTGCCTTCTTTTTCTTTAACCTCTCAGTGTTCACAGGGATTTCCCAGGGGAAGCTGTGACCTTTCTTCCTTTTACATAGCTCTTACCTTTCACCTCATCTCAGCCTCTAAGGCTGAAAAGGACTGAGCTAGTGTTTGGAGGATAGTCTATGTATGCAATGAAGAAGCAGTGGCATGGATCCAGGTAAGGAGAGGGACCCAGGCCCCAACCCCAACTGGCAAGAAAGCAGCAGGGATCCAGGTAAGGGGAGGGTGGAAAGGTTTCGAACAGCTAAGGGAGATAAACTAGACTGCTGGTTTGTCCTACTGTGGTGGCGTGTTGCTGTGAGGCTTGAGGCTGTGCCACCAATGTTTCAAATGCCATTCACAGTGGCCATAAAAATACATGCATGCTATCATAAAGATGGCATAGGACTGGGCAACTCTATGATCCGTTGCTCATAGGGTTGCACACCATGCACAGATTTCAGTGTGACTTACAGACTGACACAGACTAAGAAGAAGGAAGAGGCCACCCACTTCTCAAAGAATTGGCCAGGGAGAACCTTATGAATAGCAGAGAAACACTGTCTGATACATTACTGTGCAACTTTATGAATAAATAGCCTGGAAACATTGTCCAATACAGTGCAAGAGGATAAGCCACTTAGGTGAGAAGGACCTCAGAATACAACTGGGAAAGAGCTGCATAATCAGAGTAGAACCCACCTTACTGATATGGATAAAGTAAAGCTTT